GGTTTCCACGTTCGTTCCCAGAGTTCCGGAAAAAAAAAACCCAAATGACGCGAGAAACCGTTGAAAAGTTTGCGCAAAATGACAACATCTTGTCTGCAATGCCAATTACATTATATTATTTTAATGTGATGAAAACATTAATAATACGATATTATTATTTTACTCGCTGCCGCCGACGCTACGTCAACAACGTTATGCAAAACCGATTAAAATTGATGAAAAAGAAAGAAAAACCGCCGACACGTAACGCGTATATTAAATATATACAACGTGTCACCGTAGTCCGTAACGAGGACGACGATGATGATGAGGACGATGATGATGATGGTCGTCGTTATTAAACGGTTTGAAAAAGCTGTCACCCAAACGATATTACGACGACGGGAGGTGGTCGGTGTGAGGGGGGTGTGGGTGTTGATCGAGGTGCGCAGTTCCGAATGGAGGGATGAATGAAATTAAGTGGTTGAACAATTTAAACGTAATTTACGTTAACGGGCCTGCGACGCCACGATCATTGTGCGAATAGTATTCTCGCCGCCAACCGAGTAATAATAATAATAATGACGGATAACAATAATCCTGAATTCACCCCGCCGATGTCATTAATGTACACCGACGTGCCGGGAACTCCGATCAGACGTAAAGTTTCGTTGGGGTAGGTAGCTTATTTCCGGTTTTGGTTTGGGAATTGGGACGGCGACTGTTGTTGTTGTTGTTGTAATTGCTCTCAACGATATTTTTTTTTAATTATTACGAGAGCGCGTTTTCCCGAAATCGAGTTACGGATCAAGAGAAATATCGGAAAATTACGTCCTCGCAAAAGAGACGGTGAAGAGGGGGATGACGCGCCAACAACGTAGGTGCAYTCGTCGTTAAATTGTTTAAGTTATTAGGAGTGACCGTATTTGAAATGCTCTTATAACTTATAGGTACGAACATTTCGTTAAACCGTTAAATAATAATAATAATAACGGCGAGCAGCTCGTAATGGAATACGAGTGCATGTACAAAACAAAGCCGAAGCAGTCATCATCGTCTGCGCCGTCATATATATATATATGAATTGAATTCACGCCCGAGAAACAACGTCTCTATAGCTCATCGAYGTGTGCTATTAAAATATCATTAATATTATTACGTCGCAGTAGACGGTTTTTTTTCTCGGCCGTCGCGCCGCATAAAAAATAATCGTAATAATTATCGCTTTTCACTGAAATAGAGGTGGGCCACTTGACAATAAAGTAACACCGTCCGGAAATCTATTTAATTATAATATTATTGTGTGGAGCCGGCGTTCAAAAAAATAGTACGTAGGCATACGACGGGCTCCACCGACAAAACGGCCGGATCGTAAAAAAACGGCCGTTTTTAAATATTGCGTTGTAAATATGATCAATATCAAGCATTAGTTGTTTACCGACAGTTTTTTTATTATAATAATTCATTAATTCGTATACACTTATACCATGTAAATTATAATAATAACATAATATATAACATTATATCATATATATATATATATACATTATAATGACGACAGCCACGCACAAAGTGTATGATAATGCGATACACGTTTCGTTTTCACTTCAAAAGGGTTTTTTTTTATACACCGTGCGATTATGACACACGGTCGTCTCGAATCGACGAATCGGAAAAGGGAAGGGATAAAAGCGTGTTAATAACCCCGGTCGTCGCGTTTTCCGCAGCTAAAAATATTACGATTATCGTTGTTATTACTATCATTATCGTTATCATACTATTTTCCATTCTACACACAAGCACGATATGACATTTTAATATATATATATACATATGTATTGTATATGTATTATTCACGTCGTCCGGGCGTTATTACGTTCGAATTTTAATGTTGGGATACGTAAAACCACGGACGGACGACGCGATTTGCCCTCACCATATTATTATCTCCCGTCGGCCGTCATTATCGCGAGTTCGGTATTTTAACGACGGACCGTTCAAATGGAGGAAACGGAAAAATAGAACGAAATTAAACGAGAAAAAAATAATAAAATTCTAGAGAACTAGTCGGGAAAATCCGTAAACGCGTCCGAACAACGTTTTTGCACCTATCTATAGGTAGTTGTTGGGGGAGACATATGGCGTGTTGTYGTTACAATTATTGTACCATGGCCGCGTTTTCGTGACGTAAACTTTCAATCGGATAAATTCGCCAGGTCCGAAGCTTYGAAAACAAAAATATACTCTTAAAACGCGTGACAAACATTGACCTGCGAGGGGAGGGGTGGGAGGGGAGTGTTTTTTTTTCTGGAAAAAGAACGAATACCGAGTGTATCATCTTGATCCTCCACACGTATCCGGGTATATATAGAGAGAAGCGCGGATGACTGAAGTTATGGAGTGTGGGGGGGGAGTAAGAGTTATTGGTTTTTCGCACAGCAACCGCCTAAAAAACGAACCGTAGAACAATATTGGATATATGACGTGTGTGGCGCTGCCGGGGCTGGGAAAACAAAAACCCGTCGAAAGGGGAAATAACAACGGTGTACTAATATAGTTCCGGCAAAAGTCTACGACAAGAGACCGTAAACGTATTAATATATATATATATATATATGACAACGACGTAACGTTTATATTATATACGCCCCGTGATATATAGTGATAATTTTGCCGCGCAATTTTTCACGGTCGACAGACCACACGGCGTCAGAGGCACCAAACGGCTCGTAGTCGAGTATTTTTAGAACGCGTTTTCTTTTTCGTATATTATATATTATAATGACGACGACGACGACGACGACGATGGTAATTACGAGATTGCGTGCTCGCGGAAAGAAAGGATGGCGACGACGCGTGGGGACATCGTGTACGTAGTATATAATATATAATATATATACATAAGTTGTACGTAAGTACACCACACACGCACACGGTTGCTCGCGTATATAATAATAATAATAATAATACGCCGCAACCATCGAGTGTGTGTTATACGATCTCTCGTCGAGCCGATTATTATTATTATTATTATTATTTCGTACTCGCACCACGTCGCCGTAACCGCTGCTAATCCGTTCAGCGTAATAAATTATTAAATCGCCGTCGCGGCCGACGACGACGATACAACAATAACAATTTATAATAATAATAATAATAATAATAATACGTATTCTCCTCTCCCGTGCATATCAATCGGACAGCGCCGCCGATGCGAACAGATGGTTATATTATAAGACGTTGGCGCTCGTATGTGTCGCGTCGTCGTCGTCCGAGAGCGGCTTACGAAAATAATAACAAATTTCTACATACAATATACATATTTTTATTTATATTATTATTATGAATAGTATAGTAATAGTATACGACGCGCGACGTTTACGACCGTCTTCCGGTGCTAGAGAAATGATCGTAATCATAATAATAATATTATGCGCAAACCCAAACAAAGTAAAGCAATAATAACAATAATAATAATAATAATAATAATAGTAAAAATAATAATCATAAAAATAATAATAACAATAATAAGGTTTATTCGTTTGACGGGATAAAACAGACGACGAGCGGAGTGATCTGTCAATAGTTGGCGCGCTTTTTCAAAAACGACAGTTTCCGCCGTCGCCGCATTTAATCACCAGCCAACACGAGCAATAATGATAATTATTTTTATTCTTATTTCAATACATCAATAATATGTTTTCTGTTGCAATAAAAATTATAAATTGTAATTCAATCATAATACATTAATAACAATGTTTTCGTAATAATTTATTGATAAAATAAAAATAGACATACCTGATGTATACTTGCTGAGGATTCGGAATTTTTCAAGTGTTTGTTGATTCTTCAACCATGTCTTCGAGAGCCAGAATATTAGCGAAAATTAAGTTCCGTAAAAGCGAAACGAGTCAACAGAAAAAACACGTGAAAATAAAAATAATTCAAAATACAAAAAAAAAAAATACACGTAAAAAGTATGTATAATTGTTTATAAAGAAACGGCACAAAGGTACGCAAAAAATATCGGCGGGAGAATAAAAATTACGAAAAAAGTTTGTAAATTTTTATTCCGCGGGGCAGACGAGAACGATAATAATTAAAATTTTATAAAATAAATCGCGTGAAAACCGTCGGGACGGCCGACCGATAAAGTAAAGCGCGCGACAACAGCGTGAGTAGTGTTATCTGGAGCGCGTGTGTTTGTGGTGTGAGGTACGACGACGACAAGTACGGGAACAGTCAACCGGCGTCCGCGAAACGTGTGGCGGTAATGAGCAGCAGCCGCCGGCACCGCCGTCACCACCACCACCAACGCCACCGCTGCCGCCGCCGCCACCGCCACCGCCACCGTCGCGTCGTCGTGCGCGTCGTAAATATATATACGTATATACATTATATGTACGCATATACCGAATCGCGCGCGCACTCACACACACACACACACACACGCACATTCACACACACATACATGCACACACACACACATATATATATATATATATATACGAACGGCGTATGTGCGAGTGAGAAGAATTGGAAAATGTCATATGTCCAGCGGCGGCGGTGGTGGTGGTGGACGACGACCGCGGGAGGCCACGTTATCGCGTTCCCGCCGCCGCCGCCGACCACCAACCGTACGACGACGTCGACGACAACGGCGGCAGCGGACCGGACACCCCCGAAAACCCGATACGCACGCACGTACCGCCGCCGTCCACTAAATATAATATTATATTACGTTGTGGCCGACGCTGCTGTGACGGTGCGCGGTGGCGGGCGGCGGTTGTTTGCCGCGTCGTATATATATATATACGCACATAATATTATTATATTATACCGGAGACGACGCTATATACATATAACATATAATTCCCCTACGACACACACGCACACCTATCCCCCTCCCCAAGAGTACCCTTCCGCCGAAGGGGTCTACGTCCGTGTGCACACGTGTGTGGGTGGGTGTGTGCGTGTGAGTGCTTGGTCTGCACCACCGATAACCCGTGCGACCGTTGTCGTCGTCGTCGTCGTCGTCGTTTTCGTAGCCGAGTAGTTTCAGAGATTATTATTATTATTATTATTGTTATTATTATTGTTATTATTCGAAGGGTACACTACCAGAGCCGCGAGGGCGGGAAGTACACTCTCCGTGACTTCACGATTCGTATTTTGCTAGAAATTCGAGAAAAATATTTCATGTGCCACAAATCGTTTTTCCCGCTCGACGGGTGCATATTATAACGAAATTCGTTTTGCCATCCCGCATCATTGCGTATTGCGCGTATAATATTTTAATATTATTATTATTAAATATATATATATATATATATATATATATATTGGTTGGCCGAAGAGGGAAAACACGAAATGGACGAGAGAAAAAAAACGATTATAATGATATTATATTCGTCGTCGTCGTCGTCCTCGTCATCGCCGACGGTTGCTGCAACCGCAACCGACGCACCACACACGCGGCCCCGCCGCAGAGTTTTTTTATTATAAACGCGAGAATAATATTACGTCAGATAAAACGCATATTAAATTATTATTATTATTATTATTATTATTATTATACCGAACGTCGGCTGCCGCAGACACATGCGAGTGGGTCGAAAAGTATATTTTCCTTTTTACGCGTATAAATAATAACATTTCGGTATACCTCTGAACCTATAATATATAAATGTGTATACAATTATTATACACCTCTATATTATTATTATTATACGTTATTAAATATTATATAAGTGCGATTTTTTTTTTCGAAAAAAAAAACTGATTTTCGATACATTTCGTACATTTACRTTTCATGCTTAGTGGAACGAGGGGGAGTGGTGGCCGTGAGACGGTGAAGCGGCGTGCGCGCGTAATATATAACGCCGACGAGGTAAAAAGAAAATATAATAATATAATATAATATCCCATTGGTTTTTTTTATATTTTAATTTTATTTTTACTCCATCTGTCTGTATATTTTTATATTTATACACTGCGTTACGTGATGGTTTACACTTTATACATATAGGACATAGGTACTACGCTATGTACCTGTCCGTATCMTATTAGCGAATCAAAAAACGAAATTCGTTTCTTTTCGAACAACGTGCCATGATCGAATTAATCGACGACAACTCAATCATACCACCCAATCATAAAGTATCCATAAGGTTCCATGACGTATCTGTRTATAGTACATATTATGTATTATGTATATAARTAGGCAGTGATGTATTTATATGGTGGCCGGGGCATGGGCTCCGGGCAGTAAATTTTTAGGGGCGCTAAATTTTGGAGAGCATTTTCGTATAATACGGTACCTAGGTCATTTGGGTGACAAAAAAAAGTAATGACACTCAATTATTAATAAACGATCATATTTTTTTTTTTACAAATACACTTATTGCTAAAGGAATGTAGGTTGGAAGGGGGCGTTTTTATTTTCTTATCTGGGGCGCAAAATTCCTAAATGCGTCTCTGAAAGTAGGTGCATAACTACATGCGTTTTATTAAAATGCGAATYGTTTAGACACGATATCGATATAAATATTGGTATTATCTGTATAAATGTGATGAAGGATAATAGTCGACAAAAGAAACCATTTTATACAACGCACGTACCAATAATCCAGATATTATTGATATTTAATTTTTATTCGCACACCGAATGGCAGACGGGCTTAAATATTATTTTATATTGTCAGTGAAGAAAAATTTACATAGAATATATTATACATTGTTTACTAGGACGGTAGCGTACAGACATGTGATAAATTACAATGATATTATTAATAAATGATTTTTTTTTTAACTATTATCGACGTTGTTCGTTGTGATGTCTTATGCGTGAAAAACTTTTTCCAGGATGGTTCGATGAAACGTGAAAAGTCTATTATTGTTAAGAAAAAAAAGAGAAAAATCTTGTACAAATACACCGAGTTATGAATAATAAATTGAAAATATTTTATTTTTACGACAATTCAAAAACACATATTTCACCGGAATGTTTGTTTTTAAAACGTACAGTATGGTTAGCGTACGCGTCGTTTTTTTATTTATTCACTTCATTATTTTCCTTTGAAAGAACAATACCCATGTTTATTGATAGAATCATTTTGGACATCGGCGCGAGACGAAAAACTGACGGTCAAAATTGTCCGCCAACCGTCTGTTATGAAAAACAATGAAAATAAATAAACAGTTCTTCACTGCATTGGTTGGCTACGTCTGCTTACTGAGCTGCGTAAATTCAATAGCTCTCGTGGCCAGCAAGTTGAGAAACACGAATTATTATAAGACGAATATGTCTATTCATTTCTATTTAGACTTTTTATTCTGTATCAGGATCGTCTTTCGCAATTAAATAAAATATTATTTAACGTCCATTTATAAATATCTACATAATATACTATATACAGCTTTGCTTTCAAAGTTAACAGACACCGTTATGCAGATCTGGTTAGTGGTTGTGATGCGGTTAATGTTATTTTATTAGCRATTTGTTTTATTCTATTACGTTATGAAAAAGTTTTCTCGAATGTTTCGGATTTGTGTTGCATCACTAACTCTATTTAGTATTTACACAAAATTGATTCTTATATTTTTGTCGATGGAATTCGCATATAAAATTTTGTCTCAAGCTCAACTCAACGCWCTTGTCTCTCCACATATGGGCGTCGTTTGGGTTGGGGGGCAGGGTGTACATTTGCACCACATTTTTTTTAAAACGGCTTCTTTGGCCTGCCAACAATAAACATAAGCACCGACCTAAGTGTTATATATTATATATTTTTTCAGTATATAAAAAAAATAAATATATTGCAGGTACTAATGTGTCTTATTTCCAAAAATAATCGGTGTGATATTGTGGGCTGTGGTAGTGTGGTATGGTGCTAGTCTGCATTTGTGCCATTGTGGTCTGACCATAGGTCCCTATGGTCTATATGGGTCGACAATATTATAGTTGATAAAAAGATAATAATATCATAATATATACCGGATAACAGGTATACATTTCTCATCACACTCCGGTATCTCCCYATACTCATCGTTGTATTGTGATAATAAGAAAGCAACATAATTTATAATTCCCATCAAAAGGGGAGTAATTGAATGAAAGATTTTCAGAGAAAAGCAAAGATTTATTTGAGCTGTTTGAAATTTTTGATGTATTCAGCAATAATTTTTTTATCTTRACTTCCCTCCATTTATATTCTTTACAAACCATTATAGTTATTTTTAATTTAATGAGTAAAAAATGTTATACGAATTTCCTTCTGCAAAATCCTTGATTCTCAAAAAAAAAATAACCAATTTGAATTTAAATGACATTATTTCCTGCTTAAAAGATTTTCCAGTTGCTTTTTCAGAAACATTAAAAATAATATCTTTAGTTTTAACTTTACCTGTAAGTACGGCTTCAAATGAAAGATTGTTTTCTTCACTTAAGAGAGTCAAGTCTTATATTAAATCAACTATGGGAGATGAGGGTTTAAGTGACTTATWGGTGGTTAGTGTAGAAAAAGAAGAGGCCAATAAAATTAATCTAAATGACGCTGTAAATACATTTTCAAAGTTGAAAAATCKAAGATATCCCCTAATATAATATAATATGTATTCAATGGTTATTACTTTATGAGAATAAACGTTTTTATTTGTGTAACTAAATGGTTATTGTTATTAAATTGAATTTAAATTGTTAAAATTGGAAATGGAAAAATTTGGAAATATGAATTAAGTGGACTGCATGTCTGTATATTGTGCCATTTTGAGCAAGGGAACCCAGCAAGGTTAAGTTCGGTTAGCTATTTATTATTAAGGTGCTTTATATCCATACATTTATTTACCAAGTGTATATACCGCTGGTCACAATATAAATATAAATACATTAAAAGTACCTACACATAATTCTTCAAAAATAGTAATAATATTGAAAATATTGTTGATATTTTCATAATAATATAAGTGACATATTAAATTAATTATACAGTTTTCGTCACCACTTGACCCGGGGGGGGGGGGCCTTACCAAAAAATTAAAAAAGAAGTTTTCCATGTGACCTGGTAGGTAATGATTTGAATGGCCTGCAAAAATTTTGGCACCAACCATAAAAAATTTGAAATGACGCCACTGCGCCAATCTGAAAATTTCGTATAGTTATAAGTGATTATTGAAAAACACTCGCTTTTCTATATTATTGTATTATGGTAAACATCTGTTATGATTAAGAACATCATATAGGTAACTAAAAAGCATTAACAAACGA